CAGTGAATTTTGTGGCCACATAAGCCAGAGTATACACAAGCCACAAAATTTGCTAGCACCTAGCTTAATCAAAGGGCTGGCAATTTGAAAATACAACACATAAATCCTTCATTCTTTCAAGGTCAGTTTCTAAACTTGACATCTTGGGTTGGAGATAGCTTCACCCAGGAATTTAAGGTCAGGGTTTATGAACTTAAGGAAAGGGCTGACGATTTGAAAACATAACAGACAAATCCTTCATTCTTTCAAGGTTAGTTTTTAAACTTGATATCTTGGATGGGAGATGGCCTCACCCAGGAATTTAAGGTCAGGGTTTATGTTAAGCAGAACCTCAAATCAAGTTTAGAAACAAGCAAATCTTTAATCCTTTTGTTAAACAGGTAGTGTGAGAGGGAAAGGTTAGCAAAACAGGTCAACCTCCTGTAAATATAGGTTGTCATTTGTTTTTTATACTAAATGAAATATGCCTGATTTGTGCTCAGAGTCTTGTGCATATTTTACTCCGTGTCCAGGCAAATGTGTTTATATTAGAAAACTCGCCGAAACCGGTTTGGCTCAGTGGATAGAGCGTCAGCCTGCGGACTGAAGGGTCCCAGGTTCGATTCCGGTCAGGGGCATGTACCTGGGTTACAGACACATCCCCAGTGGGAGATGTGCAGGAGGCAGCTGATCAATGTTTCTCTCTCATCGACGTTTCTAACTCTCTATTCCTCTCCCTTCCTCTCTGTAAAAAATCAATAAAAAATATATTAAAAAAAAAAAAAAAAAAGAAAACTCCATGAGGGCAGGAAATGTAGCTTTTCTTTATCGTAAATCATCTGGTATAAACTCCGCTTATCTAAGAGTATGGGGCCTTGTCTGCCAATTGCTTGATCTTTGCTCCAAATGTGTAATCTGTCTTTGACTGTCATTGCCTATATTGGCTTACACAGAATGAGACAGTTTACAAAATTGTTATATGCACCATTGCAGATTATTTTCACTCGCATCTTATTAGTAAGCTGAGCGAGTATTATCGCCCTTACTACTTAACAAATATGACTAGAACCCAGATTTTCAACATCTCTTTCAGGCACCACTGATAGGCATTTATTTCCACACCAGGAGAACTGAATGAATAATGGTCAACCAATGATAAGATTCAACCAATTCTATTCCTGAAGTCCTAAATATAAATTGTTCAGCTAAATGAGATATCCTAATAATAGCTGAATTTTAAATAAACTGCAGGGGGAGGAGGAACAGTGGGGATAAGGGTTGGTCTGCCCAGAGAATTGGAATTGTCAAAATTCAAATTGAGTTAAAATATCAAAGAATGTCATCAATGAGAGACACTATTTTTGCTCTAGCACAAATAAAAAAGAAAAAGTCTCATAATAGAGTGTTATGTGCTTTAAGTGTTTTTTGTTAGGAAGCATTTCATAGTATAAATTTTCCAAATTGCATATGATTGACTTGTAGCACCCATCCATACATTATTAAATATTTATTACTTTCTTAGTTTAATTCTCTTTGATAAGTATGAAATGATGTGTGAAATGAAAACCTTCAAGTACAACATACAATGGCAAGAAATACATAATAGCAAATTCACTAATCCCATAACATTAGAGGAGGTTTTATAGTATATAGACCAGTTTATTCATTACCAATGTGGTTATCTAAGAAAAAAATTTCTTAATGTAAAAAAGATGAAAACTACTTTTATTTTCTCAGATTCTTTTTGTTGTTGTTGTTAATCCTCACCCGAGGATATTTTTCCATTGACTTTTAGGGAGAGTGGAAGAGAGAGGAAAAGACAGAAACATCGATGTGAGAGAAACACACCACTTGGTTGCCTCCTGCACATGCCTGAACCAGAGCCCAGGTCGGGGAAAAGCCTGCAACCAAGGTACGTGCCCTTGACCGGAATCAAACCCAGGACCCTTTGGTCTGTAGGCCAACGCTCTATCCACTGAACCAAACCAGCTAGGGCTATTTTCTCAGTTTCTTAAAAGGCTCATAAGGCAAGCAGGCAGACAGGAAAGAGGAACAAATGCTACAAAATTGGGGATAAAAATTAAAATTTTCTATGCAATAAGTCAAATTATTGCAAGGAAACAAAATAGGTGTAAAGAGATATTAAAAAATCAACTGCAAGCAATCCTTGGCTGACATAAGAAAAAAGAAATGAACAATCTTGGATATAATGATGTTTAAAAGATGCAAAAAGCTATGCACTGTGAAGAAATGATGACAGAGATGGAGCTAGAAAATACCAAAAAGAAATGGGTAGGTTCCTTTTGAGAAGGAATAAAAAGAGTCTGAGAAGAAAACCTGAAAGCCAGCCAGATTGGAAATACTGTGGCCTAGGTGCTCCCAGGTTATCATCCACTCCTTTCCAGTCTTCTAGGGGAGATCACTGTAAAGACTGCCCCTTTAGATAAAAAGACACACATATGCCAACCAACCAAGATTCCTAAATCTCATCACATATTCCCTGAGGTGAGAAGCACACTCGACAGGGAAAATGAAAGGGACAATTCTAATGCTGTTTTTACTGAAATTTTTATTGAAACCCCCTGTCATCCCATTTTAGCTCCCTAAGTAAAGAAGATGCATGTAAAATCTAAGCCTGATGGTGTTCTTTCCAAATTTTGTCTTAAATCTCTGAAAACATTACTTTTTAAACTTGGGAAAGTGAAGCTAGGACAAAGGAATACTGATTACCTATTTTGCGTGCCTGCTTTCTTGTTTATTCATGAGCAGAGCTAGACTAAGAAACCTTTCCATGAAAATGGAAAGCATGTCTGCAGTAGCATAATGCTTAATGTTGACCTTCTATCCTCTCCAGCCAGGAAAGATAAGAAACAGTTTAGGGAGCGTAAGAAAAGAGCTTAGAAAACTTGGGATGAAAAGGAGTTTCCTAAGTTCTTAAGGTCATCTATGACAGGTTATTCACAGAGTCTATGTGTTCACTTAATGCATTTATTTCACCAACATTAGAATCTCTGAACTTCTGTCATCAGTTTCCTCTTTCAACAATTTCCCTTCTATAACCTGCTGTGGAATTTGCAAGGCCAGTTTTCCTTGCCTATGCCTATGAAGAATTGGTCAAAATAACTACGAAATTTTTAATACCATCTTCTTATGTACCTAGTTGGAGGGGTGTGTGTGTGTGTGTGCGCGCGTGTGTGTGTGTGTGTGTGTGTGTGTGGTTTTTAATAGAATAATAACAAATGCCTTAAAATCCTTTAATGTCTTTTTAAATCTACCTTTAGAGTAAATCCTGTGTAAATTACTATGAACAGCTTCTCATATATTTAAGCCACTAATTTTTAAAGTATTACATAAATTTAGGAAATATTATCTAAATATATTTCACATTGAATAAATTTAGAATGTACTTACTTTAAATATTTAGAAAGAACTTTATTTATCAACAGTTATTCATAACTATTTTTGCTGTGAATTTGAGTATAAAAACGTAACTTTGCTTAGTTAGTAAGTGGTTGATAGCTGTTCACACTCTGCAAAAGTGTATCTAAATATCCATGTGAAAAATACCTGAAAAATGGAATTTTTTATTAGATACTGGTTAAAAGATTCAACCCAGTAAGCACAAAAGATTCAATATAAGGTATTTTATCTGAAATAATTCTATGAATGAAACCTCTGAATAATTATGCTCCAATAATGTTTTGTACACAAGGTTAGTGACTATCAAGAAAAAGAACAAACAAAAAAAAAAGCAAAAGAAAAAGAACAGCCCTAACTGGTTTGGCCCAGTAGATAGAGCATTGGCCTGCGGACTGAAGGGTCCCAGGTTCGATTCTGGTCAAGGGCATGTACCTTGGTTGCGGGCACATCCCTAGTGGGAGGTGTGCAGGAGGCAGCTGATCGATGTTTCTCTCTCATCGATGTTTCTAACTCTCTATCCCTCTCCCTTCCTCTCTGTAAAAAATCAATAAAATATTTTAAAAAAAGAAAAAGAACAAAAACTCACAAGACTGCTAGATAAATAACAAAACACTTAAGGGCTATCAATGCAGTGACAAAGAATGGATATTTTCAAAGCAAGACACTTGGATCCAGTGATAGTATTTCATTAAAATGACTTTGTTTTTATTTATATTTATTTTTATTTAAAAAATTTTAATCCTCACTCAAGGACATGCTTTTATTGATTTGAAAGAAAGAAGAGAGAGAGATACATCCCTGACTATAATTAAATCCGATACCTTTTGGTATATAGGACAATGCTCCAACCAACTGAACCACACCAACCCAACTAGGGTGAAAGCGACTTTGTTTTTATTATGTCAAGTGACTAATGTTGCTTTAAATGAACATAGCTAATAGATTTTTTCATAAGTTGGATAACACACTAATCAACTTCTGATTGTTTTAGAGATTATTTTCAACATATGTTTTAATCAGGTATAACCACCCATAAAAACAAAAATTTCTGGAAGCATACTTCATATTAAAGAACTATTTCATATAAGGTTTACAAATATTCCATCATACAAACCTAGGAAATTAATTGATTTCATTTTTCTTGGGCATCTATAAATTTATATAGAACATTTTATGAAACATTTAGTATAAAAATATTAAATATATTGATCAATACATTGTGGGAGGCCGCCGCTGGGAAGCGACCCGAGAGGATAGAGCCGTGCTGAGGTCCTCAGAGAACATTGTGGACAAGAACGTGCTTCTCCGGCTCAGGGTGCATGGCCATGAGCAACCACAGGACGGGCAGGACGTCGCTGCCCGAGCAATCCATTCCACCTGAGCAGCGTAGGGCAAGCGGGCCATGTACTTATCTGCCCCACCTGCCCTGTGCGCTGCCCCTCCCCAGGCGAGGTATCGGTGAGGAGGAAAGGATGCCAGCCACACGGGTGAAGCCCAAGTCCAGGGCGGCAGTGACGTTCGGGGACCTGGCCATCTACTTCTCCCAGGAGGAGTGGGAGAAGCTGAGCCCACGCAGAGAGGTCTGTACAAGGACGTCATCATGTTGGAGTACCAGACCCTGGTCTCTCTCAGACTGTCCTGTCGGAAGCCAAATGTGATCGCCTGTTGGAGAAAGGGAAAGCACCCTGGATGGAGAGATTCGTGAGAAGACACTGTGGCCTGGGAGGCTGCAAGGACAACAGACGTGTTCAGGTGGGCATGGAGGCAGGTCCCTCAGCAGAAAATGTCTGAAGAGCAATGTACCTCTAAAGCTGAAAGAAGGCCGCCTCGGCAACGGAATTTATCTGAAGAGCAACTATTGGCACAATGTAGATCTGCAGCCGAAAGAAGACTGTGTTATCCACAGAAAATGTCTGAAGAGCAACGTGCCTCTGAAGTTGAAAAAAGGCGGCGTCGGGGACAGAATGTATCTAAAGGGGAACTGTTGGCACAATGTACCTCATTAAAAATGAGGCTACATGTGCAATCGTTTCTCAAAAAAATGAGCAGGTTCAAAAATTAAATGAAGAAATTTTGGATATTCTCGATGGAGATTTTCACTCATATTTGAGTGATGATTCCATTGATTCAACAGATGATGCTGAAAAGGAAAATTTTCCCATCGAATTTTTTAATAGTATTACTCCTTCGGGAATGCCGTGTCATAAATTAAAATTGAAAGTTGGTGCAATCATCATGCTACTGAGAAATCTTAATAGTAAATAGGTCTTTGTAATGGTCCTTGATTTATTATCAAAAGATTGTGACCTAACATAATTGAAGCAGAAGTATTAACAGGATCTTCGGAAGGAGAGGTTGGTCTGATTACAATAATTGGTTTGTCCCCGTCTGACACTGGCCTCCCATTTAAATTAATTCGACAACAGTTTCCCGTGATGCCAGCATTTGCGATGACTATTAATAAATCACAAGGACAAACTCTAGACAGACTAGGAATATTCCTACCTGAACCCGTTTTCGCACATGGTCAGTTATATGTTGCTTTCTCTTGAGTTCAAAAAAGAGCGTGCGTTAAGTTAAAGTTCTAAATACTTCAGCACAAGGGAAATTAGTCAAGCACTCTGAAAGTGTTTTCACTCTTAATGTGGTGGTATACAGGGAAATATGAGAATAAGTTTAATCAATTTATCAGTTATTGTTTGTATCAGTGTTATTTTTCTATCATGTTTTTGTCGTTTTTAGATCATGTTTTTGTTTTCATATCATGTTATTGTTTTTATATCATGTCTTGTTATATCATGTTATTGTTTATTAATAAATTTATATATTATTTTCAAAAAATTCATTGTGGGATACTTTACATACCATGGAAAGAATTTACATGCATATAAAAATATGTCAAATAAAATTTGCAGGCATTCTTGAATATAATAAATGACTAAAAAATCTAAATCATAATTTAAAAAGTTCTAAAACACTTAAAATAAATAAGCCTCCTAAGGAGTTTTCTCCAGATAAAACCTTATGTTCAAGACTTGCTTTGTCCTTTGTTAGTTATCTTTATCCTCAGATGCTTGACTTAAAAACTCATAATTCAGAGTATACTAATTTCTTCCACAATTTGTCAAGTTACAGTGGACGAAATAGAGCTATATTTTCTCAATAGTGTGCTTTTATAGGTAGCCATAGTTAAACAGATACATACAAACAAACATAAAACGCTACCTTAAAGAATGCTTTTTCTTTAAAGGCCTCCTACTCTGGAAAAAATTGTCCTTCAACAGTAGATCTCTTCAAAGTATTCATATACTGAGGAAATTCACAACTGCTTCTCTCTCTGTCTGAGTCACAACTTTTTAAAAAATATATATTTCTTTATTGATTTCAGAGAGGAAGGGAGAAGGAGAGAGAGATGGAAACATCAATGATGAGAGAGAATCATTGATCGGCTGCCTCCTGCACGCCCCCTACTGGGGATCAAGCCCGAAACCCAGGCATGTGCCCTTGGCTGAAATCGAACCCGGGACCCCTCAGTCCGCAGGTTGACGCTCTATCCACTGAGCCAAGTCGGCTAGGGCAGTCACAACATTCAAAGTAGGCTTCACCTTCCTAGGCCTTGGTATGTCAGATGCAAGATAGGTATTTTTAATGTAAATAGCAAGAAATAGATTAAAAAATAAAACCCAAACTTTAAAATTTTTTGCAGCTAGCCCTGTCTGGTTTGGCTCAGTGGATAGAGCATCGGCCTGTGGACTGAAAGGTCCCAGGTTCGATTCCAGTCAAGGGCACGTACCTTGATTGCGGGCACAGCCCCAGTGGGGGGTGTGCAGGAGGCAGCTGATCGATGTTTCTCTCTCATCGATGTTTCTAACTCTCTATCCCTCTCCCTTCCTCTCTGTAAAAAATCAATAAAAAATATATTTAAAAAATTTTGCTGCTATATGGTAGCTGCTACCCCCTTAGTCTTTATTAAAAAAATCAAAATGAACCTCCAAAAAAGAACAGGAAATTCCTTTTCTCTGCCCGTCAACCACTGCTATCCCCATTTATGGCCTTTATAAATATAAGTGAATTAATTTTACCCTAGACCCATGCAGAATTTGGGTTATTATACAGTTACCATCTCAGAAACGTGCAGAATGGAAGACTGTATGCATGCCTCTCTCCCCAAATTAGATGATTCCTAAAAGCATCTTCACTTCCCCTGTTCAGGCAGAGATCCAGAAGACAAAAGAGTTTCAAAAATATCTCTGGCTGTGGTGTGGACAAGGAATAGAACTTAAATATTCTAACATCTAGTCCTGAATCTCTTCCCTCTCACCAACTATCTTTATTAGAAATTGTTTGTTTGTTTGTTTGTTTACTAGAGGCCCAATGCACAAAATTCATGCAAGGGGCTCAGCCCTTGTAGCCGCAGTGGCTTGCCTCGGCCCTCACAGCCCTGGCTTTGTCCAGAAGGTCATCCGGAAGGACGTCCAGAAGGTCGTTTGGCTGTCCGGTCTAATTAGCATATTATGCTTTTATTACTATAGATTTATTTATTTTTAGAGAGAGACAGGAAGGGGAGAGAGAAAGAAAGAGGAACATTGATTTATTGTTCCATTTATTTATGCATTCATTGGTTGATTCTTGTATGTGCCCTCAGGGATTGAACTTGAAACCTTGGCATATCAGGATGACGCTCTAACCAACTGAGCTACTTGGCAAAGGCCTTTTAGAAATTTTTAAAAATTACTAAAATTGAAAGACAATATGAAGTAAATATTTAAGCTAATAAGAGCAGAGAGAATATAACCATTGACAATCTGTTTTATAAAGTATAATTCTAAAATAGTCACCAAGTGATTATTGAAAATTATATGTTTGCAAAAATAAACCATTTTAAGATTATATTTGTTTCTTTTCAGAGACAAATTTTTCAAAGATTTCTATAAAACACCCCTTTTTTATAACCTAATGCTTTAAAAAATATATATCAAAAATTTGAAAAAGTTAGCTAACCAAAGTTCTTCATGATAATTAGCCAATTTTAAAACTAAAATCCCAAATCACAGAATGTTAGAACTTAAAAATTTACAATGGTATTTTGACAAAGCACCATATTAGATTCTAACATGAGAATTTATTTCCCCTTATATTCTGTAAAATAATCCTAGAAAGGAGTAGAAAGATGACTTCTATTTGAGAAAGTTATTTACAATTGGTTAATTTTAATAGGTCATTCTACTTGGGGACGCTTTTTGAAAAGTTTGCCTTTTTTTCTTCATTTTTCTATCCTTTTGTTTTTTCTAGAAAATTGTATTTAAAGTTACATAAAATGGCATTCTTCCTAAAGGGATGTGTAAAACGTGTAAAAATTAACTTTATTTTCTTGAGAAAAGATTTTCATATTTTCTTTATTTTGTGGTTTAGTATATCATTATATTTATAAATTATATATAGTGGATATATATTTTATGATATACTATTTCTTTGGTACATTTTATATGTATTAATATTTTCAAAGCTAACTTATTAGGACTCTTTTGATCAAGGAGTTCTCATAAATCTTCCAAAAGTGATTAAACATATCTTTGGAAAGAATCTACTTTCAGAATATATGTAAACAGAAAACAAATTTCAATCTTAAAGAAAACTATCTTTGTGTTTTTAAAATAAATGTTACCATACGTATTAAAAACTACTGATATTTAATAGGAGGAATAGTTTATATAAGTTATAACATAAGTTTTTAAATTGGAATTTATATTCTCTAGTCTTAATTAGAGAAAGTAAGAAATAAGTGCAGAATTAGAAAAATACGGCCTTTAATTTTACATGTGTTGTGGGCATTTTTCACATATTTATTTTGGATTTAGTGGTATGGTCCTCTTTTAGGCTTACAATGTCTGAGGCTTAAGTTTAATGCTCTTCAAATCAATCTCATTTTAAAGAATTAATCTTGAAAGTAACTTTCTGCTCCATTACTATGAAGCACCTGCATATCATAGACATTATTTATTTTATTTTTTCAAATATAGATGGTAACTTTCTTTTTGACACTCAACATATCTCTTTTTTATTTGTAATACTCCCATTAATATAAGTGTAAGCTTAGTAATATATGCAGGGAACTATGAAAATCAGAATCTGCAGGCCCTTTCTAAATCAGGTTCACATTAAAGATTAGTTTAATTTGAACTCTGTGTTTGGGTGTTTTTTAGTAAAGCATGTATTATATTAGTACAGAAATGTCTCAAATGCCATTCCAGTTTAACTTGGAAATGTGTGTGTCAATCAGAACATTATTTAACTTGAGGGGGAAAGGGATCAAGAGCAGAGGTTAAGGTATATAGTGGTCTCATGTAATATTTCAAAGTCCACATTTTGCCAGAGTGGACATAAAATCTAGATTTGAAAGCAGAAAAACCCCAGTATAATTTTGCACTTTTCTAAGTCTATTTTCCCATCTTACTATTTCCTCTGGGCAGCAGTTGTTCATGCTGGTGATGTATTCTTGTAGAAGAGATCCAGGTTCTGCTTTTGTCTCTTGAGCCTTTTTATTTAAGTCCACCACTTGTTACAAACAGTCACAGAGCTTTGAAAAGTGAAATATTAAAATGTCAGCTTTGCTTTTTCAAGTTGGATTGTTACTGATGAAAAGCAATAAAATATCTGAGGAAATGTAAGAGAGAATGTATGTCCACTATACCTGTAACATAATAAGCCTAAATTTGTTGATCATCAGAAGATTGTCATTTTAGAAATGTGTTAAGTTTTTATGTTGTGTAGATGGAATAAGGGAATGAACATGAGAAAAGGCAATGGAGATCCATTCATAGACATAAAACATAAAGTGGTGTCCCTCCTTTGCTGACATCCTTCAACATCTTTCCACTACTCACAAAATTAAAGGCATACTTTTTTAAAAAGGCCCAGAAGATGTTCTGTGGCCCAGCAGCTAAATACCTCTCCAGCTTCCTTTCCCACCAATCTCTATCCCAGATTTTGTTCAATAACCTCAAAGGGTACATGCCAGGCCATTTCTTGCCTTTACCCATGCTGTTTCCTCTGCTGGAATGCCTTTCCATGCACCTCCCCCCAATTTGCATGGGTAACTCTTGCTTATCCTTTAAGATTCAGCTCAGGTGTTACCTCCTTTAAAAAACTTTCTCTGGGACACCCCTACTCTCTTATCCCAGGATGAGTTAGGTACCTTTCTTCTCACATAGCATTCTGTTAAACCCCATGCACTTACCACATAATATTTTAATTATCTGTCTATATGCCTGTCACATATAAATGTCATGAAGGCAGAAACTAGTTTTATTCATTCATTTATTTCTCCGGTGCCTGCTGCATAATAGATGCTCAATTAATGTTCAACAAATAAATGAACATACTAAAGAGTAAGCAGAAAAAGGAAATTGAGTAGATGCTAAAGAGATAGAGGAAAAATTTGACAAGTAAGGAATCAACAAATCCAAGAGAAGATTTTAAGAAGCAACCAATGAGAACTAAAGCAAGTCACTGGATTTGACAATGGATGTTTGCGTGTGGAGAGGAAAGAGCTAGTGCAGATGAAGAAGTTAATTATGCATGACAACAGCTGACCAGACAAGAAAGGTCCTGGAAAGGGGGTTCTCAGTGTGGGGACTCCCACTCTCTTCCTTGGTCCTCACAATTATTCCCTCTACAGAAACACCCCTTCTTTCCCATCATACTCTTTCTTCAAACCCAGCTATTTTCACTTGTACTTCCTCCACTGAAGCCTTCCCAGAATACCTCAGACTGCATTCACGTATTCCTTCCTTTTAAAAATGTTTATTATGAAGTCTCGCACCCTGAAGTATTTTTTAAATGTTTCTTCTGGTCTCCCCAGCTAGGTTTTAAAGTTCCTTGAAGAACGTTGTCTTATTCTTTTTTGTCTCTCTTTCAAACCTTTACAGGTACATGTAGGCACTTAACAAATACATAAAAGTACAAAAGTACCAGGCTAATAGAATGTTAATACACATCACCTGGAATATAAAAGATTGCGCTAATTTTAAAAAATGTATTGCAGATATATCAGTTTTAAATCGTATTTTGGTCTGAAGAGTTTTCATGCCTCTTATGTCTGTCCCCAGCCACATTAAATTACTATCTTTTTACCTCCTGCCTTGCTTTCCCATCTTTTTCTAGTGCTCTAGTATCCTTAGATTAAGAAAACACAAAATTCTGCCTGAAGCAAATATTCCCAAAAACATATTTATAGGAGTACATAATATAAGGTACTGTATTTATCTTAGCTATCTAACCTTCCACAAATCTTACTGATTTATTTTTATTTTCTTTAGTGTCTGATTTTTTAACTCTTAATTTGGGTAAGTGTTCATTTTTATAGCAAATTCAATAAAACTAAAATGTTAAACTATAAAATGAAACTTTCAAAAATAATGTCATTTTCCAGAGTTGATGACTCTGTCTATAGATGACCCCTGCCCCCTTCGCTAGTTAGTTCCTTACTTAGAACTGGGGGTGAGAGAGAGTTTAATTATTTTCTTTGTATGTTCTTTTGAAGGAGGAAGACAGAACATAGGTGTTTGATATATAGAATTGTTTCCTAAGGTAGCTTCAGCTACCTATTTAGGGCAACTTGAGTTTGACTCTGGTTTTTCTATGAACTACAATGGCATCTACAGTTCTATATTCATTCATTTTTCTGTCATTTCAAAAAAACTGACTGTCCACACTGATCAAAGCTGTTGTAGCCCTGGCCAGTGTTGCTCAATGGTTAGAGTGTTGGCCTGGGCACCAAAGGGTCATGGGTTCAATACCTGGTCAAGGGCATGTACTTAGGTTGCAGGTTCAATCCCTGGCCCCAGTTGGGGTGTGTACAGGAAATGACCAATTGATGTGTCTCTCTCACATTGGTGTTTCTCTCCCTCTTCCTTTCCCTCGTTCCACTCTCCCTAAAAAAAAATTCAATGGAAAAAACATCTTTGGGAGAGAGACAAAATGGCAGTGGAATAGATGGTCATGTCCTGAGCCTTTTCCTGGAGCAGATAGAATGAGCAACTAAATAGAATAACATCCACCCTGAATTGGCAAAGCAGACACAGCTAGTGAGACAATTCGCAGCCAGGAAGGGCAGAGGACGCCTGGAGAATGGTAAAATCAGGGATCTGGGCTTGAGAGAACTGTGAAACCTCTGAGCCCAGAGGGTCAGAGGGAAACCGCATGTTACCGAGGCCGCGTCCCTTGGGACAGGCATAGTGTCTGACTGTGGAAAGAAGGTCTGCAGGACTGCTGGCGGCAGGGGGTTCTAGATCTGGGTCCACAGCCAAGAGAGACTGAGCCCAGAGAGACCATGCCAGGAGGAGAGGGGCTCACACTGGTGCAGCTCTTTCCCCTCTTTTTGGTCTTTGCTTTTGTTCAATGAACCTAGTTCAAATACAGACACTCACCAGGGGCTGAGGTGCATATGGAGGTGCGGACTTGTGGAGTCTGGGGAGAGGCCGGGAGAGGAGAGAGTTGGGAAGAAGTGGCCGCAAGTCTGGTACTGAGTCATACCTAATGTGCCAGACCTAGGAAGCCATTTTCTCCTGAAGAGATAGCCCCTCCCTGCTGTCTCCAGGCAACCAATATAGCCACACACAGACTACACCCCGAGTGATACAAAGGATACAAAAAAAAATCTGAATAGTCCCTCAGAACCCACAGGGACTTGCCTAAAGAGAGGCCTTCAGTCCCAGCAACAGGAAACTGAGAAGTAGCAGACACTACAGAAGAGTGGGATCTTAAACCAGCCCTCATTTTTATTTTTATTTTATTATTATTTTGTTATCTCTTTTTTCTTTTTTCTATATTTTTCATTTTTTCATTTGTTTCTTTATTTTCTATTTCTTTTTGCATTATTTTTTCATCATTCTAATTTTTTAATTTTATCCTACTTTTTAAAATTATTTATTTTTTATTATTATTTTTTCTTCTCTTTCTTCTTATCCACTCATCCTCTTTCTGCTTCCTCTATACTTAACTGAGGTCCTCCTCATATTCATCCAATTCCTTAACCTTACTTTCTGTACATAAGATTCTGCCCCCACCCTCTTTACTGGGTATTTGGTGTTTGTATGTTTTGGTTTATCTGTTTGTTCTCTGGTGTTTTCTCCCCATATATATATTTTTAGCTTTTACTTCCTTTTTCTTCTTTTCCTTTTCTCTCATACTATTTTTTCTCTCTTTGATATCATTTGTGCTCTCTTTTCTTTCTCCTAATTCTCTTTTCTCTGGTGGTCACTTATATTGGGGTTATTGGCGTCGTGAGTACATTCGTGTTTTGTTCCCTTTGTGTCATGTCTTGTCGAGGTGAATTTTATCCTGTTTGGCCAATGTGGTAGAGAGCGAGCCACATAACCTGACACCCAGAGAGGAAACTCCATCCATGAATGGGTCAATAACACTCCAGACCCAACTACAGAGGCAGAAAGAATGCGGCAGTGAGGGAGAGAGCATGAGTGAATGAGGGAGCAAAAGAGGAGTGTGTGGACGTGTGGGGTGTGAATGTGTGTGTGTGAGTGAGGCACAGTTAGATCCCTCAGGACCTTTAGGTGCAGACTGACCGGGCTCGCCTAACCAGGCAGCCTCTGCTACTGTTGCAAACAGTACCGGGGCAGCCGGCTCTTCCACAGAGGCTTCGCCAGTACCGGGGCGGCCGGCTCTTCCACAGAGGCTTCACCTTTTTGAAGGGGAGAGCTGCTGTTACTGGGAGCCCAGTCTCACCTCCACCCAGGGTGCTCTCAGATAACACCTGGGACTTTACAGCCACCCCCGCCAGAGACTTGCTGCCTCGGCTGTGGTCTCATGGTCACCGAGACTCCGGCCACCCTGGGCATGGACTCCTGTGAGTTCCAAAATGCGCTCCGCATTGGCTGGCCCAATGCTTTAGCCCAGGGCCACATGAGCAGCCCGCCCCAGTCCAAGGAGCAGCAGCTTCACGTGGCCCGCCTACATCTGAGGAGCAGCAGAGCACCCCTGCCCGAGGAGCAGCAGCTGCACGAGCAGCCCGCCTCATCCAAGGAGCAGCAGCCGCATGCAGCCCGTACCTGTCCGAGGAGCAGCAGTCCTGTGAGCAGCCCGCCCCCACTGGAGGAGCCTGCCCCCGTCCGAGGAGCAGCAGCCTCACGCACAGCCCACTCCCATTGGAGGAGAGGCAGCCCCACACGACCTGCCCCTGCCCAAGGAGCAGCTGCCCCGTGAGCAGCCTGCCCTTGTCCAAAGAGCAGCAGCCACACGAGCAGCCTGCCCCCATCTGAGGAGCAGCAGCCCCGTGAGCAGCCCGCCCCAGTGCAAGGAGTGGAAGCCCTGCATAGCCCACCCCCGTTCGAGGAGAGGCAGCCTCACGTGGCCTGCCCCCATCCAAGGAGCAGCAGCCCTGCTAGTAGCCTGCACCAGTCCAAGGAGTGGCAGACCCGCACAGCCTGCCCCCATCCAAGGAGCAGCCCACCCACATCCAAGGCACAGCAGCCATGCACAGCCTGCCCTCATCCAAAGAGCAGTAGCCTCATGAGCAGCTCGTCCCTGTCAGAGGAGCAGCAACTGCGTGAGCAGCCTGCCCCTGCCAGCCAGAGGAGCCACCATTGCTGCAAGCAGCACCCACCAGAGGAGCCACCACTAACTGAGGAGCAGCTGCTGCCATGACCGCCCAAGGAGCAGCCGCTGCCTGAGGAGCTGCTGCCGCCCAAGGAGCAGCCCCTGCATGACTCAACACCTAGATCTTTCAGTGAGAGCAAAAATGGGGAGACAAAGAAACACCCAAAGGAAAGAAAAGTTGAAATTACCAGAAAGGCAGCTTAGTGAAATGGAGGCATGCACTATGTCAGAAGAATTCAGAATAAGGGTCATACAGTTCACAAACCAGATGGATGAAAAAAAATCAACAACTTATGTAAGAATCAAAAAGAAATAAAGAGTGATATAGCTGCAATAAAAAACACCATGGAAAGGTTCAACAGTAGACTAGGAGAAGCAGAGGACCGAATTAGCGAATTAGAAGACAGGGAAACAAAACACACCCAAACTGAACAGCAATTGGAGAAAAAAATTAAAAGACAGGAGGAGAGCCCAAGGGAGCTATGGGACAACATGAAACGAAACAACATATGAATAATAGGGGTGCCAGAATGACAGGAAGAGGAATAAGTGTTAGAAAACCTATTTGAATAAATAATGTCAGAAAACTTCCCTGATGTGGGAGAAAAAAAAATCACACAAGCACAGAGAGTCCCAAACAAGGTGAACCCGAAAAGACCCACACCAAGACACATCATAATTATGATGGCAAATGTTCAGGACAAAGAGAGAATCTTAAAGGCTGCAAGAGAGAGACAGAAAGTTACATACAAAGGATCTCCCATTAGATTATCAAATGATTTCTCAACAGAAACACATCAGGCCAGAAAAGAATGGACAGAAATTTACAAAGTGATGCAAAGCAAAGGACTGAATCCAAGAATACTCTATCCAGCAAGGCTATCATTCAAAATTGAAGGGGAAATAAGAAGCTTCACAGACAAAAAAAGGCTAAGGGAGTTCATCACCACCAAGCCAGCAATGCAAGAAATGCTAAAGGGACTGGTGTAAAAAGAAGAAATAAAAAGCCCAGAAAGAAAACAGCCACACAAAAAAAGAAATGGCTACAAACAAGTACCTTTCAATAATAACTTTAAACGTAAATGGACTAAATGGTCCAATCAAAAGACATCGAGTGGCTGAATGGATAAAAAAACATGACCCATACATTTGCTGTCTACAAGAGACCCACCTCATTAAAAGGGACTCACACAGACTGAAAGTGAAGGAAGAAGGAACACAGGCACAAAAAATAAAAATGGCTACAAATAAGTACCTATCATAATAACTTTAAATGTAAACAGACTAAATGCTCCAATCAAAAGACATCAAGTGGCTAAATGAATAAAAAAACATGACCCATATATATATTCTGTCTACAAGAGACTCACCTCAGAACAAGGGACTCACACAGACTGACAGTGAAGGGATTAAAAAATATCTTTCAGGCAAATGGAAATGAAAAAAGAAAACAAAAACTGGGGTAGCAATACTTATATCTGACAAAATATACCTCAAAGTGAAGGCCATCACAAGAGATATGAAAGGCCACTTCATAATACTAAAGGGATCGATACAACAAGAGGATATAACCCTGGTAAACATATATGCACCCAATGCAGGAGCACCCACATACATAAGAAAACTCCTGGAAGACATCAGGGGAGAGATCGACAACAATACAATCATAGTAGGGGACTTTAATACACCACTGACATCACTGGATAAATCTGCTAGACAAAAAATCAGCAAAGAAACAGCAATCCTAAATGACTCACTAGATCAGATGGACTTAATTGACATCTTCAGAACACTTCACCCCAAAGCAACAAAATATACGTTCTTCTCAAGTGCTCATGGGACATCTTCAAAAATAGACCACATATTGGGTCACAAACAAAGTCTCCCCAAATTCAAGAAGATTGAAATCATACCAAGCATCTTCTCAGACCACAAGGGCATAATATTAGAAATAAACTACAATAAAAACAACCCAAAATACTCAAACACTTGGAAGCTGAATAGCATGTTATTAAATATTGATTGGGTTACCAATGAGAAAGAAATTTAAAACATCCTGGAAATGAATGACAATAAAAACACAACAATCCAGTGTGGTCGTGCTGGCCAGGGTGGTCCCTGCGGCAGCTCCTCCTGGCGCGGACTATGTGCGCCTCGCCTTCCAGGCAGATTGGGGCTGGAGCCCGGCGGGGAGCGGCAGGTTTCTTTCTGATCAGGCGGACAGATCAGCATAGAGTGCAAGGATGAATGTTCATCGTGGCAGTGAGAGTGACAGGTTATTGCTGCAGGAGGCCAGCTGCCTAATGGATGAAACCTCGGCTTCAGCCCAAGAAAAAGAAACTAGTAGCCTGACTTCTTCTGGTCTTCAAAATCTTTTTTTTTTTTTTTAAATTAAATCTTTATTGTTCAGGTTACATTTGTTCCTCTTTTTTTCCCCCCCATAACTCCCCCCCTCCCAGTTCCCACCCCACCCTCCGCCCTCACTCCCCACCCACTGTCCTCATCCATAGGTGCACGATTTTTGTCCAGTCTCTTCCTGCATCTCCCATTTCCCTTTCCCCCCCAAGAATAGTCAGTCCATTCCCTTTCTATGTCCCTGATTCATTATAATCACCAGTTCATTCTGTACATCAGATTATTTATTCACTTGGTTCTTAGATTCACTTGTTGATAGATGCATGTTTGTTGTTCACAATTTGTATCTTTACCTTTTTCTTCTTCCTCTTCTTAAAGGATACCTTTCAGCATTTCGTATAATACTGGTTTAGTGGTGATGAACTCCTTTAGCTTTTCCTTATCTGTGAAGCTCTTTATCTGACCTTCAATTCTGAATGATAGCTTTGCTGGATAAAGTATTCTTGGTTGTAGGTTCTTGGTATTCAGCACTTTGAATATTTCTTGCCATTCCCTTCTGGCCTGCAAAGTTTCTGTTGAGAAATCAGCTGACAGTCGTATGGGTATTCCCTTGTAGGTAATTGAGTCTCTTTCTCTTGCTGCTTTTAAGATTCTCTCTTTGTCTTTTGCTCTTGGCATTTTAATTATGATGTGTCTTGGTGTGGTCCTCTTTGGATTCCTTTTGTTTGGGGTTCTCTGCGCTTCTTGGACCTGTAAGTCCATTTCTTTCACCAGGTGGGGGAAGTTTTCTGCCATTATTTCTTCAAATAGGTTTTCAATATCTTGCTGTCTCTCATCTTCTGGCACCCCAATTATTCTGATGTTTGTACGCTTGAAGCTGTCCCAGAGGCTCCTTACACTATCTTCGTATTTTCGGATTCTTTTTTCATTTTGCTTTTCCGGTTGGGTGTTTTTTGCTTCTTCGCATTTCAAATCTTTGGCTTGATTCTTGCGCTCCTCTGGTCTGCTATTGGGTGTCTGTATAATATTCTTTATTTCAGTCCGTGTATGCTTAATTTCTAGTTGGTTCTTTATCATAGCATCGAGGGTCTCATTAGTTTTCGTGACTCTCTCCTCAAGTTTATTGACAGCTTCTAGCACATTTTTGCAAGCCCTCAAAATTGCGATTTTTAGCTCTATATCCTCCATTTCTGTCATGTTTTTTTGTCTCCGCATTTTTTATGCTTTCTTGGTGCACCCCCTAGTGGTCTTTGTGCGCAGTCTTGTTCTAGTTGAGCCTTGATTGTTGTAGTTAATACTAGAGGGATTTGACCACCAGGCCGACTGGCTGTGTGAATCAGCTGTGTCTGCCGCGGAAAACTTCTGTCCTCTGGGGAGGTGCTAATCTAGCCTTTGCCTGAGGCTATCCGGCAAATGGCTCTGCGCAGGGCTTGGGCGGGGCGGGCTCAACAGGGCGGGCGGAGGGAGCCGTTATGGTGCCCTCAGTCCTGTTCCCAGAGGCTCTGCTTCTCAGAACCCCCGGAACCGCTGCAAACCTCGGAGGGAAAGCTGCCTTCCAACTGATGCCAGACACTCCCGCTTCTCCCGTTTGGGTCCGAGTCCCCAGCGATTCGCCCGTATCTGGAGCTCAGAGTCTGAGACTCCCCCCTGACCGAAAACGACAACCGCGCTCTCAGCCACCAGCCCGCTTTGCGCGCGCACCTCCGCACCTGAGTTTTTTCCACACTGCGCCTCCTCTGAGCCTCGGTGTGCTGTTATTTTTCCTTCTAGTTGAAGAGTCTCTCCTCAGCCAGCCTTCCTGTGGTTCTGGGTGATGTCCGTTCCGTCTTTTAGTTGTATTTTTGAAGTGGTTGTTTGCGGCAGCAGTCTGCGGTGTTTACCTATGCCGCCATCTTGGTCTCTCCTCGAACTGGTCTTCAAAATCTTGCTTATCCGCTCACTCCCAGGAGTGATGACGTTTCATTGGACTATGCCTCTCAGCCAGCAAGTCTCCAATTCCCTCACATAATGCCACTTCCTGAAGACAGCAAAGGCTCTTGCTTCCTAAGTGGGAATAAACAGAGCTATGAACCTTTTATTGCTCCAGAACGATTTGGAAACAGCACTATGGGCTTTGGCAGTAACGTTCATTCCCAGGCACCAGAGAAAGTGACACTTCTCGTAGACGGCACACGTTTTGTGGTGAATCCACAAATTTTCACTGCTCACCTGGATACCATGTTGGGAAGGATGTTTGGACCAGGAAGAGAGTACAACTTCACACGGCCCAACGAGAAGGGGGAGTATGAGATTGCCGAAGAAATCAGTGCAACTGTCTTTTGAACGGTGCTGGATTATTACAAAACTGGTATCATCAAGTGTCCTGATGGCATCTCTATCCCAGACCTTAGAGATACCTGTGATTATCTCTGTATTAACTTTGACTCAACATTATCCGATGTCAAGATCTGAGTGCTTTATTGCATGAACTGTCTAATGACGGTGCTCACAGCAGTTTGATCACTACCTCGAAGAACTGATCCTGCCCATCATGGTGGGCTGTGCCAAGAAAGGGGAGCGAGAGTGCCACATTGTTGTGCTGATCGATGAGGATTCTGTGGACTGGGATGAAGACTACCCCCCACCCATGGGAGAGGAATATTTCCAAATTCTTTATAGTTCCAAGCTCTACAGATTCTTCAAGTATATTGAGAATCGGGATGTTGCTAAAACAGTGTTAAAGGAACAGGGCCTGAAAAACATTCGCATTGGAATTGAAGGTTACCCTACCTGTAAAGAAAAAATTAAGAGAAGACCTGGTGGCCGATCTGAAGTCATCTATAATTATGTGCAGCGCCCTTTTATCCAGATGTCATGGGAAAAGGAAGAAGGAAAGAGTCGCCATGTGGACTTCCAATGTGTTCAGAGCAAATCCCTCACTAATCTGGTAGCTGCTGGAGAAGATGTCTTGGAGGACCAGGAGATATTGATGCATCACCTGCCCCAAGTGGATGAACTTGACCGACTAAATGCCCCACTTTCTCAGATGGCTTCTAATGACTTTCAGGATTAGGGCCAGCTATGGGTCCAGCGTTGTGAAGCGTTTGTCTGGGCTGCCAAAAGCCAGTTCTCCCCATCCTTTCCCTTTCTCCCATAATTAACGTGCGTCCTTTCAGTATATCTGCACCTCCGCCGGGGATAAGAAAGCACTCACTGGTAATGAAGCTCCCAGCTTTGCAGCAGCCCTGGTAACTTGGAATTTTAGGTCTGGTGCTGTTCACTGAGCCTTTGCATAACTGCAAAGCAGAAAAGCAAGTCAAGACTCCTGTTGCCTCATTCGGCAAAGCAGTGCTGATGCTTTATGCTGTGTCTTGGCTTTTGTGTGTTTTGTTTTATACCAGGCACATCACTTAGCAGAGAAGGGACCAAACTTAAAGGAGACAGTCTCTATCTTCTGCAAATAGCACTAATGGCATACTCATTAGAGGTTGATGAAGATGCCATTCCTAGTGGCATCTGTGCCCAGATTGCATCAGGGAAGAATGAGGCTCGTATTCAAAGTGTCTAAAAGGAAATTCTTAGGCACTAAAATTCAGTTTTGTTTTTTCCAAAACCACATGGATTCTGTCACAGGAAGGAAAGTGGCATCATAGTATTGATGGAACCTTAGTGTCATGGTGTTTAGATTAGTCATTTAGAAGGAAACTCAAGTAGAAGAACCTCTTCAGATGGGGCCACTCTGATTGTCCTGGCTTGGAATTGGTGAGAAGCTATAGGTCTTCATCCAGGAGCAGCATGTTGCTGCGGATGTGGATGGCGACCTTAGATATGACTTAAAGGCTCCAGATGTGAGCAGACATTTCTCACAAGGGTTCAGTTTCTCAGTAGGAAGACTTGTAAGAGCTCCAGTGAGGGAACGTTTGGGGGAAAGCTTGATGGGGAAGCATTACCTGCTCAGGCTTTGTCCCAGTACAGGATTCTTCTTTGTGTATTTTGCCCTGACCGGTTTGGCTCAGTGGATAGAGCATCGGCCTGCGGACTGAAGGGTCCCAGGTTCGATTCCGGTCAAGGGTATGTACCTTGGTTGCGGGCACATCCCCAGTAGGGAGTGTGCAGGAGGCAGCTGAATCGATGTTTCTCTCTCATCGATGTTTCTAACTCTCTATCCCTCTCCTTCTCCCTTCCTCTCTGTAAAAAAAAATAAAAATCAATAACATATATTTAAAAAATAAATAAAATAAACTTAACTAAGGAGGTAAAAGACCTGTACTCAGAAAACTACAGGACACTGAAAAAAGAGATAGAAAAAGACATAAACAGATGTAAGAACATACCGTGTTCATGGATTGGTAGAATCAACATCATTAAAATGTCCATACTACCCAAAGCAATCTATAGATTCAATATACTCCCCATTAAAATACCAACAGCATATTTCACAGACCTAGAACAAACTCCAAAAATTCATCTGGAATAAAAAGAGACCCCAAATAGCTGCAGCAAC